GCCTTTTGTTTAATGAGATTTTAAAGAATTCTCTATCTGGTTTGCCTAGCATTAGATTTCGTAAATGCACTACATGGAAGAGAAGAATTGTTGGTTTGCCACATTTTGATTACTGTTTCTGATTTGTACTGCTAGGTTTTTGTAATGACATCATTGTATGCCTCCAAGCTACTGCATCATCTAAAGTTTGTATATTGATCTCCATGAATGATTTCAAAAAATTGATTTGGATCCAAATGCGATGTTCTTGTTTCTAGTATCCTTCGGGCGGACGAAACCTGTAAAGATGAAAGCTTTTAAAGAATTTCTTGTGATGAGTTTGTCAAGTACTTCTATTAAGCGTGCTACAAGCATATGGTAACTGCCTAAAACTGCTCTTTGTGCAATTCAAATTGGCTTGTTTATTCCTAGCTTTGAGGGGGTAGACAATGATTTTGTACATTTGAGAAATATCTTCTTAATCCTAGTTTCTTTGGGTGCACCCCATGAGTTTCAACTGGTATTGAAGATTTCTTTCATAGAGAATCATGTCTTTTTGTAGGTTTACTTTTCGAAATACCACTTGTATAAGGGAGGTTTTTGGTGTTCCCAGCTTTATTGTAAGTGTTATAACTCACTTCATTCAAAAATATAAATAAAAGAATTGGCTTTTTTTTTTTGTTAGGATATGGTAGCAATGACCGACATATTCAGCCTTCGCAAATGCCATTATAGTTTGTCTTTATTAGAAAGTTAAGGGTGAATGTAAATGTTTAGCTTCTTGTGATACTCCTAAAGGGGATTCTTGCTTTCGCTAAAACTGAATCCTACTTCTGGAGTAGCAAATGCATCAAGCAGACACAGCTGCATGATCTCCTATGGGATGCTTTTGGGGATTTATCTTGATATAGTGCCTATTTCTAGTACTGTCGGATCGGTCTCAGATTTTTCCGCTGAACTTTTATCTCATTCTAGGCCAATTAGTTATCTAATGTAAATTTCTCTTGTGTGGATTCTCTATGTAGGTTAAGTAAAATGTGGAAAGGCATGCTTGAGTGTCATCGTAACCAATGCCAGGCTATTGGAGAAGCCAAAAGATTAGATGCCATTGCATCTCACAAACACTTCAGTGATGCACATCTCGAAGCCACTCTGGAGCTTGAACAGGAGCTTTTGCACTGGACTTTGAGATTCTCTTGCTGGGTGAATGCACAAAAAGGTTATGTGAGAGCTCTAAACTCTTGGCTCATGAAATGTCTTCTGTATGTGCCTGAAGAAACACCCGATGGAAGAGTTCCCTTCTCTCCCGGAAGGATTGGTGCTCCCCCAATTTTTGTCATTTGTAATCAGTGGTCACAAACCATTGAAGGAGTTTCTGAGAAAGAGGTTATTGACTGTATGCGAGATTTTGCAACTAATGTGCTTCAGCTCTGGGAGCGAGATAAACTGGAAATGCGGCAAAGGATGATGGTGAACAAGGATATGGAGAGAAAAGTGAAGAACCTGGAGAGAGAGGACCAGAAGATACAAAAGGAGATTCATGCACTGGGCAAAAGAATAGTACTCGTTTCTGGGGATGAAAATGGTCTCTCACTAAATAGGCATGTCGTGTACCAGAGTGACACAAGCAAAAATAGTAGTCTTCAGCTTGGCCTGAGACATATTTTTGAGGCCATGGAAAGGTTTACTGCCAAAACCTTGAAGGTTTACGAGGAGCTTTTGCAACGCATTGAAGAGGATAATCTGGCTTGAATAGCATGAAAAATTGTGATTGCATTACCTTGAAAAAGTTATACCTTCTTGGTGCCTGTTATCATGCTACTATTGGAGGTTATTCAATTTCCAGGCTGGGGAAGAATGTGAGATGGATCAACAGAGACCTTGTTGGCTTTTTCTGCTCCCGCTGTAGCGTAATCACAGCTCAATCAGTTTCAGCTGGGAAGAAAGATTTATGGCATCTGTAATACTGATGATGTGCCTTTGAGGTTATTGCAATGGAAACTTTTTGCCGATATTCAGGACAGATATTCTTAAATCTCCTGTTTTAGAAGTCTCATTGAATCTTGAATATTACAATAACTGATGCAGCCTAAAGTATGCTGTTTTTCAGTGGTAGGGCTCCGCGTCAGACTAGCTATGAACCTGAAAGGAGGGGGTTAAATCCCTTGGATAGGCACCAAGGCTCAAGTCACTAATCCTGAGCTACTGCAGAGGTAAATTATGAAACATCATGCTTCTGTTAAATGCGAGTATTTGTAAGCGTGGGCATGGTGGTAGTTTGCCTCATTGGCACCACTTAGGCTTCAAGTGCGTCCTACGTGGTGGCCAGACCGGTCCCTGTGGCAGCTTCGGTGGCACCGACTAAATTGAGCCAGGCTGGAGACTTTGTGCTCTGTCCTCCTGGAGCAGCTGTTGATTGGTATTGAGAAACTGATTGGTGGAGATATCCGAGTGATGGCAGGTCATGTACGGATAGGTGCTTCATTCTTGTGATAGTAACACAAATAAGCAAGTAGAGGTGGCATCTAAACTGCAAGCAGAGGCCGTCTGCCTCAATGAAAAGAATATGAGACATTTGTCCGGAAATGTTTAACTCAAGAGTTTGGGATATAGTTTGTTCAGTCTGCCTTAAGAGGGAGGTTGAGAAGAAGTTCGTTCTGAGGCTTACCATACTTTGGACATATTTCAATTGGATCAAGACTACACCAGCGGAACATGAGAAGCGGCTGTTTGGTTATGCAAGTCATTTGGACTGCTGGTTGCCTGGCNGGGGAGCGCTATGTTCTTTAAATTCTGATAATAATCTATATCTTGAATTAGGTATGTACAGGGCTGGATGGATGAACCAGATTCAATTTTTGATGCTAGATGGTGCATTCTATCCACTGATAAATTGTATGGCTAGTTTGGACAGCTCCCTTATTCTGCCTTAGTAATATTTCAACTTAAGCTAACTCAGAACCTGTTAACCATAAGTCGTTTTGAATGTCCCTAACGCAAGGTTTTCTGGATTTTGAGGTGGGGTGTGTTGAATACATCGTTATACCAGGTTAATAAAATATTGTTCGTAGTGATAAGATCTGTTGCTCTTCCTGAGCTGAGGGTCTATCGGAAATAACTGCTCTGCTCCATCGGGGTAGGGGTAAGGTCTGCGTACACACTACTTTTCTCAGACCTTACTTTGTGGGATTTTACAGGTGGTTGTTGTTGATAAGATCTGTTGTTTTCAGAAATTTGGTACCACATTTATAAAAAAATAAAAGATAAAGGGGTACATCATGATTAAGGGATTAGAAAGGCTAACGGAAAAAGATGCACAGAGAATATATGCCTTCCAATCAACTTACAAAATAGGACCGGTAATAATATAACATTTTGTCATGTTCAAATTTGTTGAGTTTGGTCATTGAGTCATGATTCATCTCATCTGCCGATTCTGTCATAAATTCATTGAGGCACACTTTAACCTTTTCACAAATAACGTCACAGATTAGTAAAGTGTGCAAATCAATTTTTCTTTTGAATTGAACGATCCAACATCTTTCTGGACCCTCCTCCTTACAACCAACCATAATGTGAGAAAAGCTTCTGAAAGCCTCAAACATAACGTTCTGCAGGTGTTGCCACATTTCTAACTCTAATAAGACTTCTTATTAGGATCCTCCAAAGAAATGGGAAAAGAATTGCAGGATGTACAATTGCATCATACAGCAGTAGCAAAACAAGCTAGATTTTTTTTAATCCGAGGATCATTGGTCCCACTAATTCGAACTCACACTGGTTAGGGGGGTAAAGTGCTCCCTATCATTCTACATTCTCAAGGCTTGAATTCAAGACTTTCGGTTAAGTATGGAAAGTATCCCAACCATTAGTGGTGAACTTCCACGTTTTTATCATCAGGCAAGTGAAAGCCTTTCTGTTTAAATTGATCTCATATGTGCCCTATTTCATCAAACAATTTGGAAAAATATACGGATCTTTGGTGATAGTCTTCTCAGAGGGAATTGGAATCTTGACAACTCTAGTATCATTAAATTGCACCACGCCCTCGTGTCCACGTATGACGTTTGGCACTAGGTGCATCATTGTCTACGAGGTGTGATTTAGAAGTGAATTTTCATTCCATAATTTGGTTAATTCATCGATCCTCTCCGGCAGGCAATTGGACTATATTGACAACGTTGATTCTATAATATCATATTTAAGACCTGCGTATGTCATTTAGTTTTTACATTTCACTTCTTCTCAAAAGCAGGGACAAGTTTTCAAGAACAAATTAGTGGACATGTTGAAAATTCAACAAGGAACTAGTTTTAGTATTATCCGTTGATGGACTCAAAACATGATTGCAAAAGTTTTGATTTCTGACTATGGGCAAGCACGCGGTCACGAGCACAATTGAATTCCAGGGCTATGTGTTTGTTTTTTCGCACTTGTCCCAGGTTGCCTTGCCTGCTTTTGTTCGAAATAACTGATAGTTGTATCTTTGTTTCCTGTATATATAGAGAAGAAAGTAGTTGTTATCCCAAGTCGCAACTTTCAAGGAGGTATCATGTGTCTCTTAATACTTATATGCTGAAACTCACAACATTTACTTATTCCATAATGCATTCAAATTTGATTCCACATTTAAAATTGCAGATCATCCATGTGCAGCAAAAGAGTAATTCATTGCATTAAGATAGGTTTTTCTTTGTTCTGAAGAGGCAGGGTCTTAATTGCAATCACGATATATGTAGTCACCTAAGCTGAGGGTAGGAGACAGAGCACAAACATTGCCTGATATGCAGTTTATTCTAAACCAAAGTCACGTTACTCTTCAGCCTGTGAGGTTGCTTCCATAATTTGTATGCAATCAAATAAAGTGCACGAGTTCCATTTATGAATGCAGAGTTGTCAATATTCCTTTTGTCTCCAACGCGACGATCACCGATTATATAGTTACCTAACATGTTTTCATGCACTCAAATTGCTTTAACCCAATCGTGGGGGAATCATTTTAATAAATAAAAAGAAGAATAGATGGTGTATGTGATGGTGGGAGGAGGCATGCCACAGACATCGCCTATAATAGCTAGATGGCTGTTAGATGTAGATCAAAATCAAGTCCCTAGTTCTATATATATGAAACAAGAGCAAGAAGAAGGAGCAGAATTTAGAATTGCACCTTCCAATTGTCTTCTCAACTTCAACAAGAAAAAAAAACAAATGGCTCCCTCGCCTTTGAGATCAAAAACCATCCTAAAGCATGCTCGTTCTAGCAGTTTTCCCTCTACATCTCACCCTATCGTGTCTCAATTCGATGAACACTTGTGTAGAGTAAAATCATCTTCAGAGGCTACCCCTTCTTGTCTTTCATCGTTCACCTGCAGACTAGGTGATCTTGAAAACTTATTTGATTACATGCAAGATTTGCTTCAACTATCACACTTTCAACAGGCCATTAATTCAATGGACGCCAATGTATTATTAGAGGGGTACCTCAAGGTATTAGACGTTTGTGCCACCACTAAAGATCTCTTATCGAATGAAAAGCAAAATAAACAAGAACTTCTTTCAGCTCTTCGTAGGAGACGGAATATGGATGAAATTTCTGGCTATCTAACCTCTAGAAGGAAGTCCAAAAAGATGATCCAAAAGATCCTTAAAAGTTTGAAGAGTATGATGAAGGAAAATTCTTGCGCATTAAACAAGCCTGAACCATTGGCTGTTGTTGGAGAATTGCAGGAGGTCCAGTCAGTCACTCTAGGACTATTTAAGGCCTTGTTGTCCTATATCAATGGAACCGGATCTCAATCAAGTAGTCGTTGGTCATTGTTGTCCAAGATTATGCCCTCGAAAAATGAGGAATTAATAGCCAATGAATTTGACAATGTTGATGCTGCTTTGTGCTCATTTCTCAGTCTAAATAAGACTGGCCAGTACGAAGAATTGCAGAATCAGCTGCGAGAGATGGAAGCGACTATTGAGGTTCTTGAAGATGGGCTTGAATGCTTCTTCAGGCGCTTAATAAAAACTAGAGTATCCCTCCTCAATATTATGAATCACTAGCTAGCCATGAATAGATGTTGCAGCCCAAAGGGCTATCCAAAATTTTTGTATTACAGTAACACCTGTACATTTTATATTATACGTCACATTGAATACAAGATCAAGTTCATATTTTGCTGCTAAAAATATCTCCCTTTTTTGAGTTTACTTAACGTTTTGATTTTACGTAGTGAATACAAGATCAAATTCAGTTTCTGCTACTTCAACGATCCTTCCCTTTGCTGGATTTAATATATTCAGATGTTGATCGATTTAACTGGAAATCTAGAGTACTTGGTTAAAATTAAGAAATTTAATCTGCCTTGACTGGTTTTACCATGGGCCTTCCAGCATAATTGGTTGGTTTGTGCATTAAAAATGGTAGACCAAGACTGTCATTTCATGTGTACAGAGTTGTCAAGATTCTTTCTGTTGCAAACTTTTCGACAGCATCAGCAATGTTCGGATGCCTTTCTGTGCAACTAGCAGTTTAAATTGATTTGTGCTTTTCTGTTTGATCAAAAACTTGGAGAAGATTAGTATTTGCAGGGAAAGTTGGCACTTAATTATTTAAATGCCTTGCACTTTGGATAAAAAATTGAGTGGCTTACCATGTATTGGAATGAAAGCAGACATATATAGCACAAACATCGCCTAAGTAGTAGCTTGATACAAATCAAAGTCACGTTACTCTACAACATGTTTTGGGTTGCTTCCATAATTTGTATGAAATTTAATAAAGTGCACGAGTGCCAATTTATGCATGCAGTTGTCAAGATTCTTTTTGTCCCAAACGAGTATTGATGGTAGGCTAGAAACCTATGTTTTAGCCGTAGTATTGCACTCTAATTACTGCATTTTACGTGTGTTTGAGCTTAAATGATAGTGAATTATACTTAATACGTGTATTATGCCTTGCAGGAAGTGATTCCGAGCTAAAAGGTTAATTTGGAGCTGAATCGATCAATTTGGAGCTTTGAGGTATGAGTAAAAGCCCAATAAGTTAAGAGGGGATCGTGTTCGGAGGTCATATACCAAGTCTGGATGTCAAAAGAGGATGAAACAATTTTACTCTGAAGAAAATGACACTGGCGCGCCGCATGGGGAGCCACAAAGCGCGACGCGGCAGTGAAAAACTTGCTTGACTGGCAAAATACATGCCTGATGATAATCTCCACAAGCACGGCGCCGGGCGCAGCGCGGGTGTACAAAAATCACAGAGTGGTTTCCTGCTTCGGCTTGGAAAGAGTAGCTTCGTCCGGGTTTGTTTCTACACGGCATAAATACACCAAAAACATAATTTTGAGAGGACGGAACTGGGGAAAGGAAAGCAAAAGTACAAAAAACCCGGGAGCACGAATTTGATCAATTCTTCCATTTTTCTTCTAGTATTCATTGATTTTATGTTTGAAAATATTATTTTTGATGATTGTATGAACATGAGTGGCGAAGAACCCTATTATTCTTGGGTCATGGGTGCTACATGAATGTGATGTTTGAAGTTTAATTTGACGAGTTTGAGTTTATCCTATTGGGTTATTTATTTAATTCCTGTTTTAATTATTTCGCTGAGTAGATAACAGTGAAATACAATCTACGAATTAGATTTGAACTCGAAAGTGAGAATTCTAGATTGCATATAAAATTAAATAGAGCAAGTTCTTGAACCCGGGCATCGGGGAACGAATTCACAATTAGGATAGAAATATACCTAATTGCCTTGCTTGGTTGAAATGCAGAAAGTGTAAATACATTTTTGTTAATCTTAATACCATAGACATATAGGCATTAAGTTAGCTTGAATAAGTGAGTAAAAACTCGACAGATTCTTATGAGTAATATCAACCCTGTCAATCAACAATCTAGATAATTCAATTAGTCATTTTAAGCCAAGAATGCAACATGATTGTTAGCTAGCCTATGACCCTAGAATATCCTCTCCTACTGATTGTTATCCAAAATTGCTTAAGTGTTGTGGTTGATTTTTAGTTATTTCATTGCTTGATAGTTTTTAGGTAGTAAGTTAGTCACTTACAGATTTTGTGAAGAAATCTCTTGAATCGATAAGTTGTTTGAGTTTGAATCAGTCAAAGGTTGATCATAAGTCTTTGTGGGAACGATACTCTACTCACTACTTTATTACTTGACGACCACGTATACTTGCGTGAATGTGTTTGGTCGCAACAAGTTTTTGGTGTCGTTGTCGGGGACCTAGAAATTAGCTACTTGACTGAGTTAAGTTTTTATTAGTTATTTGTTCAAGTTTATCTTTCAGTTTGCCTTGTTTGTATTAGCGCAGGCTCTTCTTTTGAATGCGGAGGAGTAGAAGTACAAACAATCTCCTTCCTCTTGGTCCCGAAATTGAACGAACACTTCACAGAGTGAGGAGGGAAGTTGAAGCTAGAACTAGAATATAACGAGAGTTGAGTTCAACCACAACCAATAGAGATGGCAGGTAAAGAAGAGCATCCGATGATAGAAGCTGCAAGGCCCAATCTTGCTAATATGACTCAGGCTATTGTGAAGCCTGGTATCACGGGTCACTTTGAACTCAAACAGTACATGGTACAGCTGATTCAGTCCATATGGAAAAATGTAGGTCTATCTCATGAAGACCTGCAAAAGCACATTCAAAACTTCCTGGAAATTACGGACACTTACAATTATTTGAACGTTTCAAGAACTATGTCAGGCTGACACTGTTTCCCTTTTCATTGTTGGGGGAGTCTAAGGAATGGTTGCAAAAGGAGCCCGCGAACTCAATCCACACTTGGAATGATTTAGTAAGGAAATTCTTAATCAAGTTTTCCCCACTAAGAAGACAAAGTCGCTGAGGAGCCAGCTTCTTGGGTCCCAACAACGAGATGGCAAGACTCTTCGTCAAGCTTGGGAAAGAGACAAGAAGCTACTCAGAGACTGCCCGCATCATTGCCAAACTGATGAGGTGTTGGGTCATACTTTTGTTGATGGGTTAGACGAGACATCAAAGATGAATCTTGATTCAGTACGTGGGGATAGTTGCATAGCGAGACCGTATAGTGAAATCCAACTCTTGCTAAACAACTTCACTGCTAATGATCATAATTAGCAAGGAGATGGAGAATCACGAAGAGCAATTAAACAGAAAGCATCCAGGGTAATTGAGCTTGATGACTTCTCAGCCATGAGAGCAGATATAGAAAAATTGGCAAATCAAATGAATAGAATGACAATGCACCAAACACAACAGATGCAACATATACAACAGATGCCTACTTATTGCGAACTATGTGATGACAGTCACATGAGTGACATATGCTCCTATTTGATTATATTTGTACTTGTTTTCCTATTTGCTAATTGGTTTTGTTTGTTTTGTTTCTTGCTTTCATAGAAAATATGCTCTGTAAATTATAATTCTGAATTCTATCGGTCTGTAATAGTTAGTAATTAATTGTTTAGTTTTGATTCTTCCTGATGATGGATTTTGTCGATTGGCTTCTTGAGGGAGTTGAAGTCGATCGAGAAAAAGCAAAAATAAAATAAATTTAAAAATCCAAAAATATGTCTTTTATTTTATTTTACTTTTTTTAGGTAGTGTAACAATTTTCCCTTGGTTTTTCTTTGTGCCGCAGTTCTTTTTCAAGTGTTTTGCTTGAACCGGGTATAGTTAAATCTTTTTATTTTATAGGAATAAAGAATCTTGAGTCAAAATGCTAATTTAAAGCAACTTTCCTTGATTGCATATGCCTTGAGAGTGGTAAGTGCCTTAGTTTGACGTCTAGGCTCAGTTCTTGAATGTTAAATAAGTGTCTTATATTGTGTAATTGTGACCCCGCTTAACTGCTTTGACTAGAGAGTCGGGAAAGATGCGATCCTAAGTGAGTTATGTGTCAATGTGTGAGTGAGATTTTTGTGATATTCTGTGCATGTCAGTTAATGTCTAGAACTTGCCCCGTGTGTGTGCAAAGCAAAATAATAGCCTTATTCAGTCTAGGAAGTGATATAGGTATTTCTTTGTTGAGCCAGTTATATGTCTGTGACCCACCTCATTGAATGTATTTTAATTAAGTAATCCTGTTTTTTGGCAACCACATTACAAGCATTACCCATTTGTTTGAATTTATCATCTGTTTGAACTTCTACCTCTCGTGAGCACTTAAAATTGTTATAAGCTTGTAAATGCTAAAGTGGATGTATGGTTGGGCTTTTGAGTGGAACTAAAGAAAAAGGAGAAATGTGCAATGTTTGAAAAATTGTGAGAGCCACTAGTAGAAAATTAAAAAAAGAGAGTTAGATTGAAAAGAAGAGGAAAAAAGTGAACTTTTGTTGGTGGTATTTCTTATCTTGTTTATGCTTAAAGATAGTGGGAGCTTGATGCTATCATGTATAAAAGTTGGGGTTTGGTTCAACGTAAGAGTAGGGTTTGAATTGTGAAATTGTATATGTATCAAAGTGCTCAGGGAGGTGTAGCCACTATATCTATATGTGTCCTACCCTTCCCACAACCTAGATTACAAGCAATTAATGTCCTACTTGATCCTTGATTGAATGAGCTTAATTAGTAGAGTATTACACTATGGGCAAGCATATGACGTCTTCTGTTGCACATAAATTTTGATTCTGAGAGTGAGTTAATTCTTTCTACCTTGAGTTCCTAATTGTTCTTGAATAATTGTGAGTGGAACTACTCTCTATTGTTTGCGTGAGGGCACATGATTTGCGAAGGTAAGGTAACGTCTTTGACCTCTGTGCTAGAGTAAATGAGCAGGTTATGAAAAATACATGGTACTTTTGAGTTGATTCTTGAGGTTGGAATGTTATGATGTGGTGTTCAGTCTATTTTAAATATTCTTGGCAAGGTGTGTTAGGGAGGTTGTTTGATGAAAAGGCCATCCCTATGTGAAGTGTAGTTCAATTGCTCGAGGACGAGCAATGGCCTAAGTGTGGGGTGTTGATGGTAGGCTAGAAACCCGTATTTTAGTCGTAGTATTGCACTCTAATTACTGTATTTTACGTGTGTTTGAGCTTAAATGATAGTGAATTACACTTAGTACGCTTTTATGCCTTGCAGGAAGTGATTCCGAGCTGAAACGTTAATTTGGAGCTTTGAAGTCTAAGTAAAAGCCCAATAAGTTAAGCTGGAATCGTATTCGGAGGTCGTATATCAAGTCTGGACGTCAAAAGAGGATGAAACAATTTTACTCTGAGAAAATGACACTATCGCCCCACATGGGGTGCAGCAGGGCGTGACGCGGCAGCGAAACACTTTCTTGATAGGAAAAATACATGTCCACTGATAATCTCCACAAGCGCGTCGCGGGGTGCGGCGCCGGTGTACAAAAATCGCAAAGTAATTTTCTACTTCGGCTTGAAAAGGGTAGCTTCATCCGGGTTTGTTTCTACACGGTATAAATACTATGATTTTGAGAGGACGAAACTAGGGAGAGGAAAACAAAAGTACAAAACACTCAGGAGCATGGATTTGATCAATTCTTTCGTTCTTCTTCTAGTATTTACTGATTTTATGTTTGAAAACATTATTTTTAATGATTATATGAACATGAGTGACTAAGAACCCTATTATTCTGGGGTTATGGATGCTACATGAATATGATGTTTGAAGTTTAATTTGACGAGTTTGAGTTTATCATAGTGGGTTGTTTATCTAATTCCGATTTTAATTATTTTGCTGAGTAACTAATAGTGAAATACTATCTACGAATCTAGAGTTGAACTCGAAAGTGGAAATTCTAGATTGCATATAGAATTAAATAAAACAAGTTCTTGAACCCGGACATCGGGGAACAGATTCGCAATTAGGATAGAAATATACCTAATTGCCTTGCTTGGTTGAAATACAGGAAGTGTAAATGCATTCTTGTTAATCTTAATATCATAGATATAGGCATTAAGTTAGCTTGAATAGGCCAGTAAGAACTCGACAAATTCTTATGAGTAATATCAACCCTATCATATAACAATCCAGATAATTCAATTAGTCATTTTAAGCCAAGAACGCAACATGATTGTTAGCTAGCCTATGGCCCTGGAATATCCTCTCCTACTGATTGTTATCCGAAATGCTTTAGTGTTGTGGTTGATTTTTAGTTATTTCATTGCTTGATCGTTTTTAGGTAGTAAATTCGTCACTTAGAGATTTTGTGAAGATCTCTTGATCCATAAATTGTTTGAGTTTGAATCAGTCAAAGGTTGATCATAAGTCTTCGTGGGAACGACACTCTATTTATTATTTTATTACTTACCGACCATGTATACTTACGTGAATATGTTTGGTCGCAACAAGTATCTGTTTGGCAAAGGAAATAGTAATAAGTGGTTAATTTTTTAAAACTTTTTAGTTTTACCACCATTTGTTATCTGTTTCTTCATAGTGCATCGTGTCCCCATAATTTGCTTGAAATTAAATGAAGAGCACGAGTGCCATTTATGGATACAGAGTTGTCAAGATTCTTTTTATCTACAGCGAGATGATCACTGATAAATGGCAAGACTAAATTATATTGTAAATTACTTGTAGACCAAGACTGTCATTTAATGTGTACAGAGTTATCAATCTCTTTTGCACGTTTAATTTGTATTGATAATTACAGTAGTAATATTATGCTCTTTGTCTTTGAAGGCTGGGACAGTTTTCTTTCACTTGTGAAAGATAGGTGGAACTCGCCAGGCATTTGATTCACAAGATCCATGAAAATTGGCAAGACTACTCAATCGTGCAATGATTTAAAAATACTACTACTCATTTTTGTCCCAAGTCAATACTAGTATCTGGTGCCAAGCACTGCTGGTATGAGACAGAGCACAAACAACGCCTATTTGGTAGCTTGATCCAAATGAGAGTCACGTTATACTTCACTCACCCGGCGGATAATTTGCATCAAATTGAAGGAAGTGCACGAGTGCCATTTATGGATGCAGACGGTGGCGGACCCAGGATTTTGTGCAAGCAGGTTCAATCTTAGAAATACATAACTTTAGTTGTAAACTAGTAGTTGTCGAGTCACTCGAGTGGGTTCAAATAAAATATTTATACAAAATTTATAAAGCTTTAATCGTAATTTATATATATATACACACACAATATTATTTTTTGATGAAACAACAAAAGTTAAACCTGTTTGCCACCACGTGCGTCTGCCACTGGTTGGCAATATTCTTTTCGTCTCTAACAAGAGATCACTAATAAAGATACAGTTCCCTAATAGGTTTACATGATCCCACATAGTGTTAGATCTAGATCAAAGTCAAGTCCTATTCTCTAGTCCCCCCTAGTTCTATATATATGAAACAAAAGCCAGAAGAAGGAGCAGAGTTTAGAATTGCACCTTCCAATAATCTTCTCAACTTCAACAAGAAAAAAACAAATGGCTCCCTCACCTTTGAGATCGAAAACTATCCTAAAGCATGCGCGTTCTAGTAGCTTTCCCTCCACATCTCACCCTATCGTGTCTCAATTCGACGAGCATTTGTGTAGAGTAAAATCATCTGCAGAGGCTACCTCTTCGTGCCTTTCTTCGTTCACCCGCAAACTAGGTGATCTTGAAAACTTATTTGATTACACGGAAGATTTGCTTCAACTACCACATATTCAACAAGCCATTTCACTACACGGCGATGAATTATTAGAGGGGTACATCAAGGTAATAGACGTTTGTGCAACCATCAAAGATCTCTTGTCGAATGAAAAGCAAAACAAACAAGACCTTCTTTCTGCTCTTCGTAGAAGACGGAACATGGATGACATTATTTCTAGCTACCTAACCTCTAGAAAGAAGTCCAAGAAGATGATCCAAAGTTCGCTTAAAGATTTGAAGGGTATGATGAAGAAAAATGTCCTCGCGTCAGAAGAACCCGAAACATTGGCTGTTGTTAGCATGTTAAAGGAGGTCCAGTCAGTCACCTTAGGCCTATTTAGGTCCTTGTTGTTGCATGTCAATGGAACCGGATCTCAATCAAGTAGTTGGTCATTGTTGTCCAAGATTGTACGCTCGAAAACAGAACAAGTAGAAGCCAATGAATTTGACAATGTTGATGCTGCATTGTGTTCTAAGAAGGGCAAATTCGACGAATTGCAGAATCAGTTACGAGAGATGGAGTCAACCATTGAGGTTCTTGAACAAGGGCTTGAATGCTTTTTCAGGCGCTTAATCAAAACCCGAGTGTCCCTCCTCAATACTTTGAGTTATTAGATAGTCAAGAATAGATGTTACAGCCCAAAGGGCTATACAAAAGTTGTATCACAGCACTACTTGTAAATTCATATACATAAAAATGAACACAAAAATTAACTTCAGTTTTTGCTGCTACAAATATCTCTCTTTTTGAGTTTACTTATTGAATATTATGTCACATACTTCAGCTTTGCCACTACAATGATCTTCACTTTTTAAATTTATGTACCGAAAACAAGATTAAGTTCAGTTTTTGTCTACTACAGAGATCCTTCATTGGCTTCAGGGGCGGATCCACCCCTTTACAATGGGGTGGCATGACACCCGCTAAGATGATAAAAAATTTATATACATATCTTGAAATTTTCTTAAATTAGGTTAAATATCTGATCCTACCACCCGCAGTCGTAAATTAGACAAAGGTGCCATGACTGATAAATCTTTTTGAAAGCTTTTCTCGTGTGTAAAATTCAAGATGGAAATTATCTTGAACCTTGTCCAACTTTCCCTTTTCGTGTGCTTTTTATTTCTTTTTGTCCCAATCATTTTCCTTTTTGGCTACCTCCCAAATTTCTATTTATCTTTTCATTATTTTTGTAATTTTCTTTTTTTTTTATTCTATTATTTATATGTGCTCTCTAACAAGAACACTCAAAAAAGAAACTCCAAAATTATAAAATTCTATAAAATAAGCATTCCTCTCAGTCTCAAATTTATGAGTTTTCTTCTTTCATACCCGAAAAATTTGGGTCTTAATGGAAATTTTCGATTGAGATAAAAAAAATTCATCTTTTTTTTATATCATAAAAAATTGTGTTATTCTATAGTTTTTAAATATAATTTAAATCTCTTTATTATTAAATTATGACAAAAATTTCGTAAGAATTGCTTGAAAAATATGAGATTTATGATTTTGTTTTTTTAAAAACTTGTAGTTTATTTAATTCTATACTTGTGGGGTATAATTTATCTATTGAAGATATTTTTTTAAAAAATTCTTATTCTGCTTGATGTATTTCCCTTATTGAAGATGTTATCTTGTGTAAATTTATTTTTAATATACAAAAAAAGATGTAACTAGTGAAAATGTTGATTTTACTTGTGTTGTTATAATTAAGGTATGATTTCTTATTTAAAAAATCGAATAAACATTCCTAACTAATTTTTTATTAGTCATTATAAGGTATACACTAAAAGAAATTATGGCACCCACCACCTTCAAATTCTAGATCCGCCTCTGCTCAACTTGAACTAATCTTGGCCAAATTGTTAAAATGTTGAGTAAGTTGGTAAAGCCCTATAAATAACTCTTTCAAGCTAAAAAGTAAAATGAATGCGTCTTTCCAAAGGTCTTCCAAGATAATTGCTCCTCGATTGGCCATAGATTTGGCTTCTTATTTTTTTCAATTTTTTTTTGAAAACATTGTTTATTCATGGAATAAGATTAGTTTTTGAAAAAAAATTGAAATCATTTTTTAGGTTCCCAAAAATTGATTTAGGGTATGCACGTAACTTCAATCTTTTTTTCAAATAAAATGCATGTCCAAATATAATTTCAACTTCCAAAAATTCTTTTTTAACACAACTTCATTTTTTTTCTTTTTCATATTTCAACCAAATTTATATCGAAACGTTAGCTTAGATTGCAAATTGAAAATTTAAAACAAGGCTATATCATTTGATTTGGCTAGAGTTGTCAAGATTCTTTCTTGTCCCAAACTTTTGCATTAACATTATAAAACTATGAAAATGGTGGTTACTCTTTATTAATACTCAGTATTAATAAAATGGTGCTTGCAATTTGACAGAGTACTATCTTTTATTTTTCCAGGATATTATCTTATGGAAGCAAAATAAAAAGTTATACGTATATTTAAGGGCTCAACTTTCTGTTATTTGATTTGAGCAGATAATCCTAAAATACACATAAAATTGTATTTGTGTATGCAATCAGTTTGTTGGCTAGTGTATGTGATGGTGTCATGGAGGCATACCACAAACATCGCCTAAATAAGTGTCTGAAATTAAAATGACGAGCACGAGTGTAATTTATAGCTGTCAAGATTCTTTTTGTCTACAGCGAGAAGAGAAGATCACAAAAATGGTAACAATACGGTAAAAAATTTATTTAGACGAAACTATACTAAATTAATGCAACAATCTGCAACCTGATATGTTTATGAGCAACAACCTGCAACGTCAGTCTAGCCAGAACAACTTCAGCAACAACTGCAGTATGATGAAATTTTAATGTATGAAGCGCTACAAGGCTCCGACGAGTCCGGAATCAAAACGTGGTTCTTTCGGACTCAAAGTATACAAATAAGTGGTAAAAAAAAAATTCTATTTTTATATATAGCGCTATAATACCTGGCGCTATACAGTAACAGTAACGACACTGTTAATGTATAGCGCCAGGTATTGTGGCGCTATACTGTAAAATCTGACACGCCCAGGTATAGCGCCACAATACCTGGCGCTATACATACATCATTAATGTATAGCGCCAGGTATAGTGGCGCTATACATACATATTTTATATCCCCTCCGTCTTCTTCGTCGATTCATCCTCCATTATTTTAACTCCCCTCTCTTCTTGGTACCCCACCCCAGACCCGTTTCTGCCACTATTTTTTAAAAAAAAAAATTTGGGTCCCTCCGACACATAAAACTCAAAGAACGTAGGTCCCACATTCGAGCAGAGCTTCGTGTTATTGTTGATTCACACTTCCGGAGTCATAATTTCTATCTTTTTGCTTTCCGAAAATTCTAAATCGAGGTATTTCGATTTATTTTAAGTTGAAACATTTATAATAATGCATATTATTTGATTTGTATGTGTTCTATTTCGGTTTGTGTTTTTTTTTCCGAAACTAGCATGTTAAATTTATCCGGATTTAATATTAGTGTTTTCTAAAAAAATATAAATTAGTAAAATAAATTTGTCTGTTAATATCCTGATTTATATATATGTGTTTTCATGCCGTTTTTTATTTTATTTGCAATTAAATTTATTTGTTGTTTATGGTTAGTTTAGATTGTTTTTTAGCGTAGTAAAATCTAGACCTTTTTAGCGGAGTAAAACGTAGACTCTTATAGCGTAGTAAAATTTAGAGCCTTGTAGCGTAGTAATGTGTAATATTTTAANGTTATTAAAAAATATGAATTTACAGTTGACGACATGGACGCGACTATACATCCCGGCCCTCAGACGTTGGATCTCTTAGCCCTACAGCCCCAGCATAGATCCGAGTATATATGGGACGGACAGTTGCTTACACATACTTTTCGGGCTAGGAGAGTGGATCTATTGTGGGAGTTTTTGAGTCCTCCCCGCGTGGTCCATTACCTGGAGGAGATGGGATTATATAGAATTATTAGGATTGGCCGGATACAGCTTGACTATGCTTTGATCACGGCCTTGATTGAGCGGTGGCGACCGGAGATGCACACTTTCCATTTGCGCATCGGCGAGGCCACCATCACACTCCAGGACGCTGAGATTTTATATGGCCTGTCAGCTGATGGCTTGCCAGTTTTACTGCCTGCGACCATGAGATATTATTCGCGGCGGGCATATTGGGATATGTTGCACATGCTCACGGGTTTCATGCCGGAGGATGAGGCGGTAACGTCTGGGTCCAGTTGTATACAGTTGGTCCCCATTAGAGACCACCTGGTGCAGATCCACCATACTATCACCGATGAGTCAGCGGAGGTGGATGTACAGCGATATACGAGGCTGCTGTTGCTCCTTCTATTTGGGGGTCTTGTTCCCGAACACTTCGGGGAACCTAGTGAGCCTCCATTTTCTGCATCATATTGCTCGGTTCGAGGATACACCCATCTACAGCTGGGGTGGTGCTGTTATCTCATATTTGTACAGGCAGATGTGTCGGGCTTGCATCGGCATACAAAGAGAAGTTGGTGGCTTTCTGCCGCTTCTACAGGTGACAACATATTCAGATAATATATCCATTAGTTACAATTCTACTTAGTTATAGTTAATCTTATACTTTACGTCAACTTTGTATGTTAGGTTTGGGTCTGGGAGCGATTTCTGCAGTTTCAGACACCTCTACCACAGCTACCGGCTAATGTATAAATTCCGCAACTCCCTCTAGCCTGTAGGTGGGTTATGTGTCGTACTCTTGCACGAGAGTATG